TGGCCAGGTGAGAAGGGATGAACTTGAGCAGTTGCGCGAGTATAGAGTTAACAAACCACCCAATCCTATCCGTAGGCCCTCCCACGCAGCTAATTATGGGTCGCACTTTGTACGTGGAAGGATCAGTGGAGGCCAGATCGATTTCCGACTGGAGCTTGTGCGTCTTAATCAGAAGATATAGTACAGGGCAGACAGGGAGCTCGATTTTTAGGCGCGCGATAGTGTCTTGCGATAGATTGGCGGCTTTCGCTATTTTGATCCATTCCCTATTTAGCCTGCGATACTGTTTTTGGAACTCCTCGAGTGACGATGGTCGATATAGCGACTCGTCTCGAAGATGGACCTCCGTTATCGCAACATCTAATTGGCGAGGGAAGTACTCTGCGTTGATACCACTGCTTCTTATTTGCCCTGAACTTACTAGTTGTTGGACCTGTTTTATGCCCTGTTTTTGCGCTGGGGTCAGATTTGACTGCGTTCTATGCTGGCGGATGCGACTTGTTGTTCTAAAACATCGTCTGCAAAAAGACGGAAGGTCATATCGGCGCTAGCGTTCGCGTTTTGCTGTTTAAAGAACGCACGGGGGAACGGTATCGATAAACATGTGTTAGCTGGTCTTTGGTCCCCGCCCACACTCTCTAGGTTGGCCTTTCTGCGGAGTCTGTCTTGAAGTTCATGAAGTGCACATGTGATCTTATGCAGAATCAAAGTAGAGATGGGTTGTGATGGTGCGAAACTAGGACCCAACTCTAAAACGGAACGCGCATTATGTCTGACAACTCTGTTGCGATGGTGGAGATACCCCCAAATAACCTAAAAGGTATTTTGGTCCGCAATCGCATCTACGATCGCACCTGCACAACGCCTAATTGCATTATCTGCCCTGCGGGCAGGGGCGGGGGATTGCATGACGTCAGGGGTCATCTACCTTATCACCTGCGCGGGCTGCGGCGACATGTACATCGGTGAAACGGCGCGCCCTCTATGCGTCCGCATTAAAGAGCATTTAGACGGCAGGGATAGATCACGCACGACCACACCTCTAGGCACTCACAGGCTGGTGAAGCACGCTGGAGAAAACTTTGAAGTCTCAGTGAAGATCTTAGCGCATGAATCCCAAACATCAGCCCGCAAATGTTTGGAAGCCTTTTGGATTCACGCAAAAAGTCCACAAATGAATCGCAAGGAGGAGTGCCTCTCTATCACTCGTGAACTCGCACCTTACCTGGGTCACCTCTTTGACTCACTGTAGGCATATAAATAGCGTGGCATACATGGTCATTAATTAGCGCTCGCTCAGGCACTCGTATGCTATCGAGTACTCTGCGTTGATACCACTGCTT